ACTAAAGGATTGAGTTAATATGCTCTGATTAATTTAATTTATTGTGGTCAAGTTATGTAAATAAACTAGTTTTACTTTAATTAAAGTTTTAAATTTTCTTTGAATTTTGTCAAGAGTCAAAGTTTGAAAAGTCAATGTGACACCTCGGACTCGTGTCCGGGTCGGGTACGGGTTGGGGGTGTTACACATATCCTCCAATCTTAGAGCCATAAGTCCCATTGGGTGTATTATGGGAATGAACAAGTCCACCATCTGCACTATGGTTATACCGTGATACTGGCTCAAGTCTTTATATATCATTGCGGCCTCTTCCATGCTGATCATTTTCTTTTTCAGGATTATATCCATTATGTCTTTTAGAAAATTGTTGAATTTGAATTTGAGAGCTTATGGAACAAAATAAGACATTGGAACAAATTATACACTTGTAGTCCTTTCATATGAGGTAACATTGGTTACAGGATTCCAAAAGTAGAGATAACTAGTTTTATCATCAACTAAACATTTTCAGGTTTTGGGAAGAGTGGGATATGGCAGTGCGTATCTTGGAGAAGCAGAAGAGACAGTCACTGTAGCATCCATTGCAAGAAAAGACACCAACAAAAATCCTCGAGTCCATCCCGATGATGTTTATTTCTTCCGATAAGGTTGCTACACTGGATGCCACTGACAACAAGGTTGAATCAGCCAAATCTACTCATCAATTGCTCCAATCGATCATCATTCAGTTCTTGTAAATCTACTTATCAATTGCTCCAACCGATCATTATTCAGTTTTTGTAAATCTACTCATCAATTGCTCTAACCGATTACCATTCAGTTCTTGCAAATCTACTCATCAATTGCTCCAACCGATCACCATTCAGTTCTTGTACATCTGCTTTCAAAAGTATGCTGAGCCGGTAAAGGGCAATCTCTGAACCACCAATCCCAGAGAAAAGAGACAGAACATTGATACCCCTGGGGAACATGTCTCTTAAAACTGAAAGATGATAAGCCACTGTATCGGCCTGGAATGAATTACCAAGCAATTTATACCACTCTGTCCGACTAGATCCCTCCAGATCCAAAAAATGGGCACCTCATTCAGAAGAGATACATATCTCATACATTTTCGTCAGAATGATTGATTACTTCTTAAGTTTGTGACAACATGTTACTTGACAACTGCTGTTTAATGACACCAGAATAGAAGTATTTAAGATAAACAGATTTGGGGAACGAATAAAGCCACAAGTACCCTCAATGAGGCATTGTCAAACTTGTACCTCATGAGGATCATGATATTCAAGTCAAACAGACGTTGAGAGTGAACTAGAAATAGAATATCAAGACATCTCGAAAGCCCATTACAGACAGAAATGATCCATGTGGGGCATTTTGAAGGCTCGCATCAGTATAATTATTTAGGCTTTTTTGAAAGCTCACATCAATAAAAAAGCAAATGTTGGGGCATGCTGAAAGCCCATTTCAATCATAATCAGGAATATTGACGCATTTTGAACGTTTGTATCAGCAAATGTTGGGACATACTGAAAGCTCATTTCAATCAGAACCAAGAATGTTGATGTATTTTGAACGTTCATATCAGCAAATGTTGGGGCATGCTGAAGGCTCACATCATCATGTGTTAAAGATCATTGACTTGAGAAAATATTTCCAATGAGACAGAAAGGTATGAAGAATAAAAATGGTGAAACAGTGACAGTAAATCTGACTATACATAATTGCTTCGTTCATTAGGCAGTTGTATTAGGGTCCTGTTGTTGAACAAATATCTACTCAGCAAGTATGGTTTCAAATACCCAATCTTCTTAACCATGTGTCACATGACAACGTGTTCTTTGTTAAGATATATCACCATTCGATCCAGGGTTCAGTTCCTCAAGATCTCGGCTTTGAATTTGGTCTTTTGTGTGTTAGTAATGATTGAACATATTTTTTTGAGGTTCCTGGCAATTAATTTCAATCATATTGTTGAGGCTATGAAGTTGTTCTTCACAACAGTTTTCGCTTACTTGATGACATTGAAGAGAGAGGTTCAGGTTATATACATTACCCTTATTCCCATTGTTACTGGGTTATCATTACCAGTCGGGGCGAAATGAGTTTTTATCCATTTGGTTTTATCATGTGCGTTTCATCTACAGTAGTAAGAATTCCATGAACCTCTTTCTGTATATAGATCCTAAAGATAATATGTTTCTACATCCTACAATGCTCATTATGGAATAAAATGTGATCGATATCACACTGGTGTTTGCTCGAGATAATATCAAGATCAGTTGGTATCTCTTATGCAACTCGACACTAGCATATTTTATGAATTTGACCAACTTTTTGGTCATACCAATATCTCACTTATATTCCCATTGATTTTTGTTCTCAAGTGGTCTTGTGACATCATACAAAAGTTTTGAACACTATAAAAGAGCGTCCCTAACCAGAAGTCTGGGCAGAAGCCATAGAAAAGGATGTATGTATTTTCAAATGTTTTACGAACATCTGAGCATAAGCCACAGGAAAGGATGAATGTGTTTTCAAATGTTTTATGAAACATCTGTACAGAAGCCACAACTGGATGAATGTGTTGTCAAATGTTTTACGAACCAGTTATAGTGCTGAACCAATGTTGTGATCATATGGTTTCCATTTTTGATTCAAGATAAAGTCTGTCTTCTTCAACCCCAAGGTTAGAAGTGAGATATGATGAAGATTTCTTTCCACAGAAGGGAAGAAGAAATTTTAACAACAAGAAACTAGTGGAGCCAACTAAGGTTGAACGACAGGTTGTTGTTAAGCATCTCGACATGATATGGTCCAAGTTGCCTTATTCGAGATTTGATTAGATGTGGAGGCATGAAAGGAATTAGGATAAATCCTTCTTATGATGTGTTTCAAGAGTCAAATCAGAAAAGACTCTACTCTCCTAATTAATATTTGCTGAGGTTAGCATATATACATCTATATTCTTCAAAGATGATATATTCTCTCTTCAAAGATGATAGATTCTTTCTTCAAAGATGATATATTCTTTTTTCAAAGATGATAGATTTTCTCTTCAAAGATGATAGATTCTCTTTTCAAAGATGAAAACTTTATTGGATTTCTACACAAGTCCAGGCAAAGAAAGCTGGTGTTATCCATGATAAAATGGGGCAAAAAGGTCATAGTTTTGACTACAGCAAGAGTTCCATAAATGAAACATTTCTTTTGAGACTTTAATGCAAATGAAGAAGACACAAATATGCAGATTGATTAGATGATTCTTCAGAAATATATCGTAAGTTGCTACACTGATTTCCAAAGGTAACCCTGGAAATAAATGATCAAGTGAAGAAAGACAGAGTCACCACTTTGAAGTCAAATGAAGATTGCATCAATATTCATGCATTCATAAGAATATTATTTGCACAATAGACAATTTATTGCATCGATACATTTGATTGCATTCAAACATGAAGTTTTACAGATCTTCGTATGAAAAAGAAGATCCATGATGAAAAATACCTTACAAGAAGAATGTAGAATTCAAAACCTCGAATGCAGGAATCACGCAAACATCTGAAGAATAGATGGACGCAATCCACAAATGAAATATTATTTTGGGGCATGTTACCCAACTAACAAGTTATTTCAATGAGAAAACAATTTCCAAAATTTCTCATTTAATCTTTTTTAAAAATGAAATTGTTGAATAGTAAAAAAACGATTTCCATAGTTTCTTACTTAGTAAACTATTTCTCATATCTGTAAGACCTATAGTGCATGATGTTTTTAAAGCCTCCGGGTCATCCATAAGACCTACACTACAGGATGTTTTCAAAAAGCCTTCAGGAGATTTTTGATATTTAAAGCCTCCAGGTCATCTGTAAGACCTACGGTGCAAGATGATAAGACCTCAGGGTCATCCATAAGACCTATAGTACATGATGTTTTCAAAAAGCCTTCAGGAGCTTTTTGATATTTAAAGCCTCCGGGTCATCTGTAAGACCTACAGTGCAAGATGATAAGACCTCAGGGCCATCCACAAGACCTACATTGCATGATGTTTTCAAAAAGCCTTCGGGAGCTTTTTGATATTTAAAGCCTCCGGGTCATCTGTAAGACCTACAGTGCAAGATGATAAGATCTTAGGGCCATCCATAAGACCTACAGTGCAGGATGTTTTCAAAAAGCCTTCGGGAGCTTTTTGATATTTAAAGCCTCCGGGTCATCTGTAAGATGTACAGTGCAAGATGATAAGACCTTAGGGTCATTCATAAGACCTCTGGGTCATTCATAAGACCTCTGGGCATAATGTTTTCAACATTTCCATCCCAATCAATAGAAGTCAAATGAAAAAATTATTGTCTTTTCGTCTTTGCTCTATTCTTGTTAACACAAGAATGAGCAAATAGGGGTAGTTGTAGACATTAATTTTTTCATTATTATTATTATTATTAAATTATTATTATAGGCCAGTTTTACAAATCTGGTGGCCCAACATTTACAAACCATGCCTATCAGAAATGACCCAATAGGACTTAAACCCCGTTTAGGGTTACTACTAGGGTTTTTAAACCCTAGCTCCCAACCGCCGCCTCCAAGCTTCTAGCCGCCTCTGATGCACCACGCGGCCGTTGATTCCACTTCCAGGTGGTCCAACGCCCCGCTGTCGACGCTTGCTGCCACGCCGACACCTCTGATGAAAACTCTAAAAAAGCCAGCTGCCCCCCACGTCGCAGCTACAAGGTGAGTCACCACATAGTTCGGTGACTCACCGAAAAGCCCTCTTGGGACTGGACCGAAGGGAGCTCCGACGAGGCCTATAAATGGCCATCCCTTGCAAAATAAAAAACATAGAGAGCAATGAGGCAACCAACAACAACCAACACCACAACAACGACGAATGGAAAAAAGAAGGAGGAACCACACCAAAAACGAACAACCACAATAGCAATCACACATACACAACAACGAAAACCAACCGAAAAGAGAAGAAATGAATACTTACCATCATGGGAGGCCTTCGAAACGTCGCCGGAGACGCTGTTCCAACCAAGGTAAAAGCTTCGGGTTTTTTAGATCTAGGGTGATCTAAGAGTTTTTAGGACAAAAGAAGGCTGAAAAAGAAAAATTTTAGGGTAAATTTATAATTTTCGACCACCGTGAACGGTGACCAGCAGTGGCGGTCGTCGACGGTAGACGGCTACCGGTCGGTGACCGAAACTCCCTCAGGTGAGGGAAGCTAGAGAGAAGGGAGAGGGTTATCTCTCTTAGAGAGAGAAACAAAGTGAAGAAATGAAGCTAAATGGCCCTTGGGGGCCGGTTTAAAGGGGTATAAATACTTGTTTTAGTGAGGAGTGCCGGTGTAATTTCACAAATAGATAAACTCTTTCCGTAGTCCCTCCAAGTTTGTATCTTTTCAATTTGATCACTAAAATTAATTTCTATACGTTTTAATTCTGTTTTATTATAATATAGTCACAGTAATAAATTTTCATATATTTTAATTCAATATTCAAATTTTATTTTATTTTAGTCCTTGTCTGTATACTTATATATATTTAGGATAAATACCTTATTTAATCTCTCATAATTTTATTTTATTTTGATCCCGAATAGCTTGAAATTATTTTCCAAAAATTCTAAACCATACAATCAAAATGATATTTGAATCCAAATTAGGAAAGTCAGCTTGATTATAAAAAAAAAAAGTGGGTCCCATTCCTTTGAATATATCCATATGATACAAATTGAATTATTAAACAATAAAAATTAGGTCCTCTGCACATTACAAATTCAAAGTTAGGTAGTTGTAATATATTATATTTAGTAAAGTAGTTTATCAACATGCACCTTTACCTCATGTGATAAGAAGAAATTTGTGATGTGGTATGTTTATGTATACACCGATAATTTATTATATATAATATTAAACCATGTTTTAAAATATTTACTTTAATATATTAAATATAGTATTTAATTATTGTTTTATTTTTTATTTTTTATGAACATATATATATTTAATTAAATAAAAATGTTTATTTATTTTAAATATTATGAAAATGGCTGTCTTAACTTAACTAGAAGTCATATTTCAATATTTTAAAAATAAATAAATATCTTAGTATACATATATAATTATTTTAGTTCTATTCAAATTATTATATTTTTTATTTATTTAATTTTAGTCATATTAATATATGTATATTGATAAGTATTATTTAATTAATTTCATCAATTAATTAAATAATAATATTTATTTATTTTTAATTACTAATAAGAAGACGGTCTTAAAATAACTAGACGTCTTATTCTTGTACTTTAAAAATAAATAAATATCTTATTTATAAATATATATATATATATATATATACTTTATTTTTATTATTTTTAAGAAAAATCATTATATTTTTCTTAATATTTATTTATTTTTAATATCAAAGAAAATGACAGTATTAATATAACTAGATGTCCTATTCTGATATTTTAAAAATAAATAAATATCCTACTTATAAAAAACCAGAAAATACATATTGTTTTATTTAAATTATTTTCTTAGAAAAGATTGTTATTTTTAATATTTATTTATTTTTCAAATATTAAGAAATGACAGTCTTAAAGCAACTAGATGTCATTTTCTGATGTTTTAAATAAATAAATATTTTTATTTATAATTTATAAAAAAATATTTAATATCTTTTTCTTCCTTAGAATTATCCAATTAAAATACGAAATAATATGATCATAAATTAAATTTATATTCGATTTCTTAAATTCTAATATTAGAGACAATTTATAATTGACAAGGACTAATTTTAGGCATTGTGGTGTGCTAATCCTTCCCCAAACGTAATCGACCACGAATCTATTTTTATTATTAAAAAGAACGAATGTTTGGTTAAACGCAGACCAATTTATCTTTTAACTGATGTTTTCTTAAAAACTCTTTTGAAAGATGATTTTTAGGTATTCGACTTACCTAATCTAAAAGGTCAATGGCGACTCCAAAACTTTTCAATAAAAACCATTTATCCACATTATTTTTCCCGTCAAGTAAAATTTCGTGCCCGGACAAAAATAAGTTACGACACTCTAGTTGTCACAGTTTATTTTTAACAATCTTAAAATTTATGAATGAATCATATTGATCATCTTCTCCTATGAGTGAACACGAATCAAACTTAAATATCATTTGTTGAAAGTATAAGTAAAAACAATCAATAAACTCTATAAATTTACACGATATTATTATAAATCAAAATACAAATACAACACTAACTATGACTAATTTACAAATCAAACTAAAGCTTTAGTATTCTTCTCTCTTTCTCTCTATTTTTCATGATTTTCAGAATCGGACATTTTAGTGAACAGGTCATGCTATTGGTTTACTGGTTCAACCGGTTGAACCGGTCGGAAGAACCGGACACGTCATAATTATTTAAAAAATTAAATAAAAATACCAAAAATATTTAATAAAAAATAATTTTTTATATCACAAGTCATATTCAAAGCAAGTCATAACATATATAAGTTAAAAACCATAAAATCAAAATAATTCAAATTAACTACAACATAATATTTAAGGTAAAACATATTAAATAATAAATATAATTATATAACTATAATAAAAAAATAAATTTGGGGCTAGAAAATCATAACAAAATGATATTGTTTGGTTTAATTTTTTAAAAAACAATCTCACATGGCTAAGAAACATAGAAGAACATCTCAAAAGTCTAAAGAGTAAAAATATGAGAACAAAACAATCTCACATGGCTAAGAAACATAAAAGAACATCCCAACTAACTTCTATAAATAATAGAGGTAATTTGACATTTAAAATCGAGTCTTTTAGTTAGCATTGAGTGAACTATTCTTTCACTTCAATTAAGCTTGAATTTTAGGCTTCAATTGAGCTTCTAAAATTTTTTGAGTTTAAGCCTTTTCGAGTTCAAGTTTCAATATTATATTTTGAGTTCGAGTTGAACTTGATAATTTTTAGCTCGTGAGTTTGAGTCGAGTTGAGCTTACTTTTAAAGTTTTCAACTTCAAGTCGAGCTAAGCAATACTCGAGTTCGACTTGGCTCATTTAACAAACGATGTTGTTTGGTTTAATTTAAAAAAAAACAAAATTGACGGTTTTTTTCGATTTTCAACCGGTCCGGTTCGAACGGTTCAACGGTTTCAACCGGTTCACTAGTAGCGATTCAACCGGTGTATATTAAACCGAACTAGATAACAATTCCCGATTAAATCGATTAAACCAACCGATCCGATCCAATTTTCAAAACACTACTATTTTTTCTAGCCAATTTCTTTTATTAGACTTTGAATTTTTACTTTTCAAAGTCTGCTACAATTTCATGCTTTTGCTTCTGACAGCCTGCCACCACATTGCTGCTGTTGTCATATTAGACACGTCTCCTCTAGAAAGTTGTTGCCACCTTAATTCTTCTTTAGAAAACTTTCACAATTTCTCCTTATATTTCCCGGTTTTTAGTTCCAAAATTTCATCCTAATTAATTTGATTAATTCGTGTTACATATATGATTTTAGTTAGAGAATATCTTAATATAAATTTTCTACGTACATAAAGATTTCAACCTTAAATTTTACTTAAACGATATCAAGTTGCTTACTACTTGAATTAATATGTTAATTATTATTACCGCTTTTCACTAAAAAAGTTGTTACTATAAGGGGTGTTCGGTTTATGGAATGCAAGATTACTTTTAGGGTGCGTTTGATTTACGGAATGTAAGATTATCAGTGGGAATAAAAGATTATCAGAGAATAGGATTACTGAGAATGTTATATTTTGTGTTTGGTTGGTTTAGCAAAGAATGTAATATTATAGTGTTTGGTTAAAGGAATAAAAGAGTATTAGAATATATATTTAACCAAATAGTCCTTATTATATATTTGTTTTTTAACAAGTTGGAAAATATTTATATATTTTCTTTAAAAGATTTAAATTCATAAAATTTATATAATTTTTTTTCAAAATTGAAAATATAAAAAGGTTTAATAAAAGGGTAAAATTTTATTTTAATCCCTGAACTTCATATAAAATTTTAATTATAGTTTTTTTTGTAAATCTAAAATAGTTTAAGAATAAATTTATAATTTAACCTTCGTATAATTTTTATTAGGGTAAAGTATAGTAATGGTCACTGAACATTTCTGAAGCTTGCATTTAGATCCCCCAACTTTTAAAACTTGCAATACAGTCCCCCAACATTTATTCCGTTTGCAATATGCTCCCCCAACTTCAATCACAGTTAGAAAATTAGGGTAAATTATATAAACGATCATTGAACTTTTCAAGCACTTGAATTTAGGTCCCCAACTTTTAAAACTTGCAAAACAGTCCCCCAATAATTTTATTTTCTTATTAAATATAGATGTATAGAAAATATAAATGATTCAATTTATATTTAAATGTATGAATCATTTATATTTTTGATATATTTTATTTTTCTTGTATAAACTAGTATTTAAAATATGTTTATATTTTAATCAAAATATTTCAATATACGAATAAAAATATATTTATATAAATGTATATTTATATTTAGATGTATAAATAAAAAAATATATTCATATTAATGTATGAATCATTTATATTTTTTGAATATTTTATTTTTAATAAGAAATTAAAATTATTAATTATATTAGAAATACTCAACTTAAGATTATATATATAATCATGAATTATAAATATGAAAATATAATTATTAAATTTAGTTTAAAAATATATAAATCTTAAATTTATTCTTTTAAAATATTGTATCAACTAATATTTAAAATATATATTAAATCTATCAAACAATTTATCAAATATAATATTTTTTATTGTAAAAAAATATAATATCTTCCCATCATTTATTGCTTTCAAATTTTTTGCCGAAGTTCAAATCTCATTATTTCCATTTTCCATTATATTCTTTTTTTTTCTGGCATTGGTCATACTATTAGTATATGTATTATTGTATATCTCTTAACACAAACGATGGTGTTAGCTTAGTGGCTCCACCATGTATCTTTCATTTGCGTGACTCAGGTTTGAGTTTGCCCAAGACCCAAATTGTACTTCTTTGTAACTTAATTTTCTTCTAATTAGGTGGTGACATGTGTCACCAATAACATATATCATGATCATGTGTTAACACATGTCAGATCCTGGTTAAATGATTAATTTATTAAATTTTATTTAATTTAGGACCAAATTGATAACATATATAAATAATTAGGTGGTGACATGTGTCACCAATGACACGTGTCATGATCATGTGCTAACACATGTCATATCCTAATTAAATGATTAATTTATTAAATTCTATTTAATTTAGGACCAAATTGATTATATAAATAATAAAGACTGAATGTATAATAATGTCAATTCCTTTTAACTGCCACTTCATCATTTGTATCAATTGGTAACGACTAGTGGCTTAGTTGAAACAGTTAAATAATTATGTTGTATGATTGATAAATTTAAAAGATTGATGACAAAAGTAAAAAGGGCTAGATAGTTAAGTTGTCAACCTAGTAGTTTACACTTTTATTTATACGTCAAAATAACATTTTATAAATTTAAAATTCGAATTATTTTCAACCTCTTCTATATCCTAATTACTTTTTTTAATTAAAAAAGTTCTTCAACAGATAAGAATTATACTATTATATTTATATAAAAAATACGTATCACATGAAATAAGATGAAATTAAATAATAATAAATCTGACATAATTGAATTTAATTGAATTATTTTGGAATTTAGGGTTTAGAATGAAATTGAATTACTTTGGAAATTGGGGTTTAGAATGAAATTGAGGACTGTTTTGCAAGTTTTAAAAGTTGGGGACCTAAATTCAAGTGTCTGAAAAGTTCAATAACCTTTTATATAATTTACCCTAATTTCTAACGATGGTTTAAGTTGGGGGACCATATTGCAAACGGAATAAATGTTGGGGGACTATATTGCAAGTTTTAAAAGTTGAGGGACCTAAATGCAAGCTTCAGAAATGTTCAGTGGCCATTACTATACTTTACCCTTTTTATTATTCAATGACAGAATAATGATATTTTTGAAAGAAATTTTTTTTAAGGACATTTTAGTCCAAAACGCCGGTAATCCAACAATACCCAAGGAAAGGGAGGTAATGATATTTCCGGTAATATACCCAAAAAATCCACTATTGGTAATGTAATATTACCGGGAATGACATTCCCGGCCAACCAAACGGGGGAATATGGATTCCATTCCCATGGAAATCTCACATTCCCCCAACCAAACACACTCTTAGGGGTTGTTTGGTTCACGACATATGGAATTACCAGGGAAATGAATCCTCATTCTCCCGTTTGGTTGGCTAGCATTCCCAGCCCCGATAATCTTTTATTATCAACAATAGATTTTTTTGGGTATATCACCGGGAATGTGACTACTCCTTCCCTTATGTATTGTTGGATTATCGTCGTTTTGAACTAAAATGCCCTTAATTTTTTTCAAAAATATCTTTATTATGTCGTTTAATAATAAAAATTCTATGAAGGTTAAATTACAAATTTATCCTTAAACTATTTTAGATTTACAAAAAAAAGTCAATAATTAGAGTTTTATATGAAGTTCAGGGGTTAAAATAAAATTTTACCATTTCATTAAACATATTTATCTTTTCAATTTTGTAAAAAAAATTATATAAATTTTATGAATTTAAAATTTTTAAAGAAAATATATAAATTAATTATAGTAGAATTCAACTTGTTAAAAAACAAATATATAATAAGGACAATTTGGTAAAATATATATTTTAATAATCTTTTATTCCTTGAACCAAACACTGTAATCTTACATTCCTGCTAAACCAACTAAACACAAAATATAACATTCTCAGTAATCCTATACTCTGATAATTTTTTATTCCCACTGGTAATCTTACATTCCGTGAACCAAACAAACCCTTAGGAATAATATTATTGGAATGTAACATTACTATAGGAAAGTTGTATTACCTTGTTTGGTTTGTTTAGCAGGAATATAAAATTACAAAGTTTGGTTGATAAAATATAAGATTACTTGACTATATATTTTATCAAATTATCTTTGTTGCATAAGTTATTTTTGAAAAAAAATTATACTTTAATATTAAATTATAAATACTTAAATGAAAATTTATAGAAATATTTTAATCATTATACTATATAATTTTTGAGAAAAATATATTTAATATATAATTAATGTATTAAACTTATATTTTTAAATAATTTTCAAAAGTGTCATATTTATTTTTATAAAGTATAATATAATATGGAAAGATAATATTATAATCTCGAGTGGACAATGATTTTATTTTTTAATAACTTAAAATTAGAGATTATTTTAAATAATTATATTTTTACAATCATGTTATTTTGTACCCCATAAAATTATAAATAATTAATATATTAAATATTAAAATATAAAATAATTTTAAATACTCAAATTTATTAATATTTTACTCAATTAAACTCTTTGTATATTATTATTATTATTATTATTATTATTATTATTATTATTATTATTATTATTATTATTATGAGTAACTTAAAAAATTTGAAAATGATCGTTATAAAAAGAATTTATTAATCTAAGTACATTCTTGTCTAAAGTGACGGGAGTTGTCTAATACATAAGAACTTGGAGATAATGACATTCCCATCATTTTAATAAAAAATGCTACTATTGGAAAATGTTATTACCCGTGAACCAAATGTAGGAATGTAATTTTGAAAAAGATTATTGCTCTTGGTCATATTATTTTCCGCGAACCAAACACCCTCTAAATGTTTTACATGTTTTTTTTTGCTCGGTAAAATAATATTTATTAATCAAGAGCTAGATTAAGAGCCTCGTTAAAATTCTCCCTAAATCTAAATAGAGAAAAGAAATACTCTCAACTAAGAAATGATACAACACCGAAAAAAAAACGTTTGTATCTCAAATATAACAAAACTACTCTGCACCACACAAACCCTTCTAATCAATAGCACAGACAGCAAACCCCATAATAAGCTAAGTACACGGATAGTTTTATTGTATGGCAGTCTAATATAAGATTAAAGAAATGTAATATTGAAAATGTTAATTTTTTTAACATTTTCGTTAGAGCAATACTTAAAATGTTATTTTTTATACTAAAAATGTTAATTTCTCTACTTAAAATAAATATTTTTTATATTAATATTTTTTATAAAAAAAATAACATTTTAAGAAGAGCACGATATTAATATTTCTGGTAAAAAAAATAGTATTTTAAATAACATTCTATTAGAAATATTAAAAAAATATTAACATTTTCGATAATACTTTTCTTTAATCTGCTGTCTTCTATTATATATCTCCTAAGTACACGCAACAATCAAACAAAACGTTTTACATGTCAGAAGTATTATACATGTTTTAAGTGAAAATTGAATAAAATTCTAAGTTGGCTGCCAAGTCTTATAAAATGGCCTTGATATGAGATGCCGAGTAACATAACAAAGGTAGAACTTTTCTACTTGCCAAATTATATTCTGAGAAAATATGCAGGGCAAAGAGGAGTGTGAAGCTTTCCGTCCGGTCGCAACTTTCTCCAAAAACATATGGAGAGATCAATTTTCTCCTACTGATGACTTGGTAATCTTTCATACACTTTTTCCTTTTCATATATTATATGTTATTTTATTATTCTAGTTCGAAGTTTGTGCATGTGCTCTCAATAACATCGTTTGAAAGTCCAAACCAGGCTCGTTTTTAAGATTTTGGTGGCCTTTATGTTGACCAAAAAATTAACCCCATAATCAGAAATTTAAATTACAGTTTATACTTGTGCCTTCAGTTGTGTTGCATTTATCGTTACTGAGAATATAATAGATGATATTACGGTCACTGTAAGTATCGTGGTTTTGAATTTTTAATAAATATGTTATTGTGGAAGGATTGTAGATACGTTTATCGTTGCATAATGATCATTATTGTTGTTACAGACAGTTATTTAAGTAATTGTCTCTAATAACAAGTGTTGAAAAAATAAATTTTAAGGACAACTTCATATTACCAAATATTTTAAAAAATAGGTCTCTAATAAAAAATATTAAATAAAAGTAAATATTAAAAGTATGCTCATAGTAACAAATATTAAAAAAAATAGACCTCTAATAAAAAAGTGCTAAAAAATTGGACTTAAAGTAGCAAATAAATATTAGAAAATAAACTAAATTTAAAAATAATTATCGTAATAATAAATATTAAAAAAATTGAGTCTATGATAATAACAAGTGTTGAAAAAATTACGCATTTAATAACAAATGTTAAAAAATTGGACACTTATACAAATATTAGAAAAATAAATTATAAAAATAAGCTCCTAATAATAAATATTAAAAAATGAGTCTACAATAATAAATATTAGAGAAAAATTAGATCCTTAATAACAATTATTAAAACTAATTAAGCCCTATAACTATAACTGATATAAAATTATTTTTTTTTGTAAATATTAAATAGTATAAATATCTGGGGCCCTCCTGCGCAGGCCCAGAAACGAGTCTGGTTGAAATATATATTTCCCCCCTTAAGAGTGTAGTATATTTTACCATTATGGTCGACCTTTGTTGGATTTTACTTGCTTGTTTATGACAGACTCTGCTTTTTGGTGCACACATGCAGGTATTTGATTCCTTAACCAGAGAAATAGATCCATTGAAAGAGCAAGTGAAGGATATGTTAATGGCGTCTGCAGCTGATCCCGTTGAGAATGTTAAGTTCATAGATACTTTGGTTCGCGTTGGCGTTTCATATCACTTCGAGAATGAAATTGAAAATCAATTGGAAAGCATCTTCAAATCCCACCACAATCTTTTTACTTGGAATCATCTAGACATAAACTCAACTTCAGTTGTGTTTCGAGTTTTCAGGCAGCATGGCTTCAAAATGTCTTGTGGTATGAATAACAACATCCATATATGAACTATACCAAAGGAAATAACAATTATTAGGGTTACATATACATTTTTCAACCCTCCTATATATATATATATCAGATGTTTTCAACAAATTCAAGGACATCAATGGTAAGTTCAAAGACAACTTGATGGATGATGTTGGGGGAATGCTAAGCCTGTATGAAGCTGCCTATCTTAGAGTTCATGGGGAGCATATATTAGAAGAAGCCCTTGCATTCACCTCGGTGAACTTGAAGTCATTGGCAAACAAGTCGAGTCCTCATCTTGCGAAGCAAATAACGCTTGCCCTTGATCAGCCATTGAACAAATGCCCTCCGAGACTAGCTGCGAGGAACTTTCTCTCTTTCTATGAGGAAGATGACTCCACAAATGAAACACTACTTAAGTTTGCAAAGCTAGATTTCAATCGAGTACAAATCCTTCATAAACAAGAAATAAGCCAAATCGCAAGGTTATATATATATATACATATTCATATTTGAGGATTGATTTCTTGATAACTTTTGCATGCATGTCAAGGGTTTTTTTTCTTTTTTTTCTTTTTATACTGCAGGTTTTGGGAGGACAACGAGTTTTCGTCTAAGCTTTCTTATGCAAGGGAAAGATATGTGGAGGCGTACACATGGGCTAATTCTGTATTTTATGAACCTCATTACACATTGTGGCGGATAATTCTGACTAAGATAATAATCCTTGTATCGATTTTAGATGACTCATTTGATGCTTATGGGACACCTCAGGAGCTTCAACGTCTTATAGATGCTTTGAAGAGGTCATGAGATATATAACTATTCTAATTCTTACCATGCTATGCTTATTCATCTGCCACATTTTTGTAATTTTCAGGTGGGAGATTGGCGCACTAGATGAGTTGCAAGATTACACTAAAGTTGTTTTCAAGGCTGTGCTAGTCATTTTTGATGAAATCGATCAGTTGGCTTTGAAGGAAGGAACATCTTATAGTGTTCCTTATGCAAAAGACGCGGTAAGAATACTTATTTGCATACATACTAAAAAAAAACTATATAATAACTAATAGAAACTTATATCGACGGAATTAATCTGTCGCTATAGTCATGGTTTTATTGACGGAACCTACAAATTGTCACCATTGAAAAATTTCTCTCATACCAACGGGTTGGTTCGAGTGGTAAATAGCTTAATATCACTTAAGCAATGTCTCAGGTTTGAGTCATTGTGTATACAGAAAATCCCCGCCGGGAGATTCACCCACCAAAGTCAGGCGTGTGACCCGGATCAATCCAAATTAGTCAAGGCTAAACCTTGAAATTGGAGGACAACAAAAAAAATTATCTCATGTATTTAGTAATGTTTGAGTATATGTTCATGTTCTAACAATTTTTTTAATTCTAATTGGGCTTATAATTAGCTCATTAGACTGGCGGAAAACTATCAAGCTGAGATGATGTGGTGCCATGATGGTTATGTACCAACATTTGAGAAGTACATGAGCGTTGCAACGAAGACATCCACTTATGATCTAGCCTTAATGATTTCATTCACAGCGATGGGCAAAACGGCAGGGATCGAAGCGTTTGAATGGCTGCGAAAGGAACCCAAAATTATGAAGGCTTTAAATATTATAGGTCGTCTCATGGATGATATAGTGTCGCATAAGGTATACGACCAATAAACGAATCTCTTTAAAGTTATTCTGATAAAATTATATCTAACGTTACGTTTGTTGGTCACTCGTTCAATCTGAAGTTTGAGCAACTGAGAGAACATTGCCCTTCTAGCGTCGAATGCTACATGAAACAACACGACATCTCAGAGAAGATTGCACTTAAAGAGTTAAAGAAAATGGTAGAGGATGCATTGAAGGAAATAAATGAAGAATGTACGAGACCGACGGATGTTCCCAGAGATCTACTCATGCGACAATTGAACTATGCTCGAGTCACACATTTATTTTATAAACATGGAGATGGATACACACATCCGGAATATACGAAAGATCACATATGTTCATTGTTCGTTGATCCTATACTTATTTAAATATGATGTTTTTTTTAACGAATCAAAAGACTTCGGTAATAAAGAAATTGTTATAATTTCTTGACATCTCTTGTTCGAGCACCAGAAATGCTAGGGGTGTAAGCAAATATTGCCTTGTACTTACCCCAAATTAATAAAAAAAACTATTGGTTTTCAATTTATTGATCCAAATAAAAAAAATTTTAATTAGATATCATAATGAAAATTATTTTAATAATAATAAATTTACAGGTGAGTGATTTAAAAAAATATTTGTATAATAACATAATTAATTATTATTATTTATATAATCTTAATTTTAATTAAAAATAATATTTTAAAAGCTAAGAAAATAGGAATGCTTTCAAGGATAATACGACCTGAATCATGAGGTATTAGTTGTTACCAAGAAGAACAACGCAGCCATGACAACAAGGCTCTTTTTCTCCTTCCTCTTCCATGTGCTCCAAACTCCATGAATCCTTTCGTGCCGAAGCGTCAAACACATCGACTATCGACGTATGTTCGTTTGATCGGAGGCCACTCTGAATCCGATGTGAAAATAGACGATGCTAATTTGAAAACAATGAAGAATTATCTAGAAGCTATTTTCAATTTGGGTAAACTATACGTTACCTAAACTACCAGTTTTGGTCCGTTTTAGTACCTAAATTGTCAATTTTTTTAAAACTATATCCGTTTAGTGGTGTTTTTGGAACAAAAACCGCTAATTTTTTACATATAACGGCGTTTCCAGTAAAAACGACACAAAATGGGAAAGTTCGTGGCTTTTTTTAGAAAAATGCCGCGATAGACTGATATACAATGGCATTTTTAGGGAAAACACCGCTACAAACACATACTTTAGTGGCGTTTTTGTGAAAATGTCGCTATAAACACGTACTTTAGTGGCGTTTGTTAGAAAACCCCCACTAGATATATGTATTTTAGTGGCGTTTGTTAGAAAACGACGCTACATACACGTACTTTAGCTGTGTTTATATAACAAACCCCGCAAATTGTTCAATCCTTTATCCTAATTCCACTCGTCTCCACTTTGAAACTAGAATATCCTTTTAACCTCTTCTTATAAATACTCCGGTAGTTATTGGGATCATATTTAATACTGTTCGCAAGAGTTTTAATATATCTATGTATGCTTTATGCATTGCTAGGACTATGCAAATATGCTTATGCATACTAAAGTAGACGAAAAGCTTGGATATATGTTTCAATAATGAATATTTCTTCTATGATGTTATGGGGTTACCATACTTTTTAGTTTTCACTTTTAACTCGTAAATTATTTTAGAATTTGCTTGTTTTATAAGCTGCACAATATATGTGTTCATTAAGTGTTGGAATGATCTTGCAGGTCTTACGTATGAGGACAAGAAAGTCGAAGTAAAAGTGAGGGGAGCGACATATTAGAAAAAATATAGAGACTTCCAAAATCAACTTCAAGAAATGAAGATGATGATATAGGATAACATAGCGCAAAATCCACCATCTTAGTGATTTCTTTAAGTTCATATTTTTAATATATTTTTATTGTTAAGTATTTCAACTTAATTAGTGCATAATTAAATTTGAAGTTTGTTGTGATTGGATTATGGTACATGATGTTAAATTTGAGTAGTACATAACCAAAAATAATATTTGTCAAATCAATAAATTTTAGCAGCGTTTTGTGAATAAAAACGCCACTACAAGTTATAATGTTTTGCGACATTTTGAGAACAAAATGCCACTATATGCATACCCAATAACGACGTTTGAGTGAAAAACGCCACTATATATCATTATATATAATGAACATTAGAGGTGTTTGGGTGAAAAACGCCAGTATATATCATTGACTATTATAGGCATTTGTATAAAAAAAGTCGCTAAAGATCTCGGCTTTTTGGGGGTGTTTTATGCTCACAAACGTTGCGACCAATTACGATGTTGGTTTTAGCGACGCTTCTTGCGACGCTCTTTCTAATACCATGAGAGTTTTTAACGGCACTAAAAAAATGTCGTTATAGGCCTAAAAATAACAAAAGAACTATTTTGTTGTAGTGGATATGTAATTTTTGTTTCATTTCAGTATTTTGTTAAAAACTTAACGTTAAATCTAAGAAAATGAAAGTTCATGTCTAAATCGGACAAAAATTGATAGTTTATATACTAAACACATTAACTTTTTAACGATAGTGTAATCACCAATTTTATTGGCCCTAATTATATATGTAAATTGTATTATTTATTACTATTACAAAAAAGCACAAAAAGAATAAAATAGAAGAAAAAGTAAAAAGAAGGGGAAATCCCTTATCATCTGGGGGCATTAATGCTCGGTTGCTGCATTGTCCCACCGTCTACACCAGCGTCTGACACACCGATCACCTGCCACACTGACACCCACCATCATCAAGCGGGATTGTCTCTCGAAAGGCAGACTAATATACGGCTAATATACGACGTTACCAGAAACATTAAAAGATATTCAATAAATTCGGTTTAGCGCTATCGAAAATATCGAGTAATAATAATGTAATAGGTGGAAATCATAAAGAAATATTAAAAAATTTGGCAACCGACAAACTTAGTTTGTCGGTTTGTGTCGATACTTTATAAAAATATATTGATCCATAACAATATAACAAGTAAAAAAAATGAAAAAAACCGATTTATAAATGACAAAACAGGTAAAGCGCTACTGGATATATTGAAAGTGTCAATACTTTATAAAATTGTATCTATCCATAACAATATAACAGGTAAAAAAATGACAAAACCGATCTATAAATGACAAAACAGGTAAAGCGCTACCGGATATATTGAAAGTGTTGATACTTTATAAAAATGTATCGATCCATAACAATATAACAGGTAAAAAAATGACAAAACCGGTTTATAAATGACAAAACATGTAAAGCGCAACCAAATATATTGAAAGTGTCAATACTTTATAAAAATGTATCGATCCATAACAATATAACAGGTAAAAATATGATAAAATCGGTCTCGAAATGACAAAACCGGTTAAGCGCTACCGAATATGTTGAAAGTGTTGATACTTTATTATAAGTATCGATACTTTTGGAATTTAAAAGAGAAGAAGTTATAGCGCTAATAAAGTGTCGATACTTTATAAAAATGTATAGATCGATAACAATTTAACAGGTAAAAATATGATAAAACCGGCTCGAAATGACAAAACCGGTAAAGAACTACCGGATATGTTGATAGTGTCGATACTTTATTATAAGTATCGACACTTTTGGAATTTAAAAGAGAAAAAGTTATAGTGTTAATAAAGTGTCGATACTTTATAAAAATGTATAGATCCATAACAATATAACAGGTAAAAATATGATAAAACCGGTCTCGAAATGACAAAACCGATAAAGAGCTACCGGATATTTTGATAGTGTCAATACTTTATTATAAGTATCGACACTTTTGGAATTTAAAAGAGAAGAAGTTATAGCGCTAATAAAGTGTCGATACTTTATAAAAATGTATCGATCCATAACAATATAACTGGTAAAAATATGATAAAACCGGTCTCAAAATGATAAAACCGGTAAAGAGCTACTGGATATGTTGATAGTGTCGATACTTTATAAAAATGTATCGATCCATAACAATATAACATGTAAAAATATAACAAAATCGATCTCAAAATGACAAAATCGATCTCGAAATGACAAAACTGATAGTAAAAAAGTGTTCTTGTGTGGTCATTTTTATTTCAGAATTTTCATTTTTTAATACGAAAAGTTGGATATTTTAAGTAAAACTCAGTAAGAAAAGAACAAAAACTTTACAGTAACAAAAGAATAACATTGGATATTTTAATTCAATGTAACCGGTAAAAATATACTGGTTAATTAGCAAATAGGTTTATATTATCTATCGACACTCTTTAAATATGTGTCGATATTTTTTTCCCAAAAATGAAAGTACAACGAGGTGCACGCATAAAATGTCGATACATTTAAAATTGTATCAATCCCAAAAACATCAAAACCGATAATTATAATGTAATAGATAAATTTGCAATGTTACTGGTTTAAATATACATGTTTAGTTAGAAAATATGTCAATATAAGCGCTACCTATTATATTATATAAGCGCTACCTAATATATTATTGTACTTGGTAATATTTTCGATTAAATGATATAACATAATCGGTCTAAATTTTAACCGGTTACTTATTTAACATATCACACTATTTTTTAACCGTTTTTTAGATGCTGCACAGTAAAATCACCCTCATCAAGCAAACTAGATAAAGCAAAACAAAAAGAATGAATCGAGTCAGAGGAAGGGAAAGTTTTTTCATTTTTTTTTTTTTTCTCTCTGTAATCTGGAGGGGTATAGAACCCCTCCGAAATGCATGTAAAAGGGGGGCTCGGTGGATTAAAAAAAGGTAACCAAGGCTCTCTTATCTTCTTCTTCAAAAAAAAAAATTGTTGTAACGGGGGGTTCCCCTTATTTCTCAAGAGAATCCATACAAAATAAGAGAAACATTTCCTTCAAAGTTTCTTTCCTTGGCATATTTCTAGTGTATTCTTTTATTTTTTTGTTCTATTTTTTAGCAAACTCAGAGTTAGAGGTGGGTATATGGGTTAAGGCATGCAGGCTACCCGTTTAATCTGTGGTCAATGCGGGTTTTGGACATCAAAAACTGAAGTTCGTTTAAATTACGGGCTTTTTAGACCGGACCGTTAAACCCGCTGGTTTAATGGGTATAACTGCGGGTAGCCCGCAATAGCCCGCTTAATTTAAAATTTCTAAAATTTTAGAGAAAATAAACTTAAAGAATTTTATAGAAAAAGAAAATGAATTACCTATAAATATGATGTTACTTATAACCATTGTAGTTTTTAAATTTATTAGGGCATTTGTCATAATTCTACCTTTGCTTGATATTTTTTTTTCATTTACAATGTATCAAATTATTCTTCATTTTAAAAAATAAAAGTTAAAAGATTTATATAGTATTTTAGTCTTATAAAATTTATA